AATTCTACTGTCCCCAAACTATTACTAATTTTGTCTTCTGTTAGGGTTTTGTTTTGTTTTTACAACCTTTTATATTTTTATTTTAATGAAAATTTACAGAAAAGTTGGATTTTCTCCAATAACTATGCATAAATGAAATAAATTTTTTTGCCAAAAAAAAGTTGGATTTTCATACATTCATTGTTTTACATTTCCCTCCCTTCTCCTCAGTTCACTTAAAAATTTTTTTTTAAAAAATCATTCATTGTTGAATAATTTCCTCCCTCTTCTCTCACCCCTCGCCAGCCCACTTTGCTATGAACCTCTTATTCTGGACCATTGTCATACAAATAATGCTTAATCATATATTCCTTTTAAATAGTTTTACCCTTCATCTGTTCCAGTACAATGTTCATTATTTATCTTTTCTTAGTTTCCCCCTAACCCTCATGTCAGTCCTGTTTTATAACAGTGGTGTTGTGCAGTATTTGTTCTTTTGTGACTGTGATATTCCACTCAGCATAGTGTCCTCCAGGGTCACCCAGGTTGTGTAATATTTTATTAGTTCCTTGTTTTTCAGTGCTGTGTATTGTTCCATTATGTGAATATACCATAGTTTTTCTTTCCATTCATTTATTGATGGGCACTTGGGTTACTTCCATTTCTTTGCTGTTGTGAATAATGCAGTGATAAACGTGGATGTGCATATATCTGTTTGAGTGGCAGCTCTGGTTTCTTTAGGGTTTATTCCTAGTTGTGGAATTGCTGGGTCAGATGGTATTTATATTCCCAACTTTTTGAGAAAGTATATTACCTTCCATAATGGTTGCACCATTTTACACTCTGAACATCAGTGAAGGGTTTTGATCTCTCCACAACCTTGCTGGCAATTTTTTTTCTCCTGTGTTGAACTTTGCTATTGTTACTGGAGTGAGATGATATCTCATAGTTGTTTTCAGTCCTCTGAAATACACTTTTATAGTCTGTATTTCCAAAGATAATTAAGTAGATGTTCAGTTAGTTGAACAGTTGGCCACAGAATAAGATAACTCTTCCTCCCATATCCCCAGAGTATGTCACAAAAGTCTCTTATGTAGAATCTACGAGGATTTTTTCTTTTGGCTGCTGCATCTGCAATTGAAGTCACATTCCAATAGATAAGACATTTGGTCTGAACAGCTCAACTTATGGTAAACATATCCTCTTTATGTTTCGCCACACAAGAACCTTATACTATAGTTTTACACCAGCTTTATTATAATTGCTCTCATGAGTTTTTACTAAGCTAGCTTACAAAGTAATAGTTTTGTAACTGGCATCATCCTTTCTTTAAGGAAGGCTATTTAAATTGTACAGAGTGGTGGAATTTTTCCCTAGTGGCATCATCTGTAGCATGTTTGGTTGGTAAACAAAAGACAGAAAGTCTCTAGAGGTTCGGAACTACCAGTGGCTCTGTGGAGTAAAGATGAGCAGTCCTTTCCTTTAAAATTATGGCCTAAAATATTGCATAGCACCACTGTTATAAAGCAGGTCTGACAAGGGGCACTGGGAGGAGAATAGGATAAGAGTGGATAGATGATGACTTTTGCAGTGGAACAGATGAAGGAAAGAACTGTCTAAAATGAATATTTATGATTAGGCATTATACATACGACAATAGCCCAGAATAAGAGATACATCATTGCAAAGAGGACAGGGGTGGGGGGAAGTTAAGTAATTGTGCAACAATGAATAAATATTTAAAAAAGAAGTAAGCTGGGGGAGGCGGAAAGGAAAGGGGAGGGATAGCCTTAGAATATTGATGAAGGGTCACTGTATGGCCAAATCAGCTGGACAGCACAGAGTGAATTCTCACCTTCTATGCAGTGGTAAAATTCTCACCTTCCATGCAGGAGATCTGGGTTCAATTCCAGGTTACACCTCAAACACAGCTACTACAAGCCTGTCAGTGAGGCCTGCATGTTGTTACAATGCTGAGCAGGTTTCAACAGAGCTTCCAGATGAGGAAGGAAGTCCTGGTTCTGCTCTCAACAAAGCAGCAATTAAAAATTGTGTGAAGCACAATTCAACTCTTGGGGTTACCTTGAGTGAGAATCAACCCAGTAGCAACTGATTTGCCTAAATTGTAAGCTGCATAAAATCAGGACCTACATCTGATTCACTTTTATCTTCCTCATTGTTCCTGTGTCAGGAAATGTGAGGATGGCACAGGATAGGACAGGATTCAGATCTATTGTTGATAGGGTCACTGTGGGTCATACTCAACGGCACCTAACAACTACATCATTCCTGGCATAGTGCTGAGTGACTAGGAAATGCTCAGTAAATTTTTTTTATTTTATGTAGCAAAGGCAAAATATTTCATACTTAGACTTAATACTGATTCGTATTTCACTGTTTTGCTAGACCACTGGATGAATAGCTACTAAATTCAGATTGTTCTTTCTATCTGTCCCCAGATAGTCTTCAGCATAAGCGTGCTGGCCCTGAGCTATTAGTACTTGATATTTCACCAAAAAATTCCCTGACAAACATTTAATATTACAGCAAGTGCTTTAGGAATTCTCCGATAGCTTTTCAGTCTCAAAACCCTTTCTTTCGGTAGCTAAGTTCCTGACACACACGCCCCCATGGATATCTGTACCCTAATAAAGAAAATAACCAAAGATTTAGCATGTCTTTTTTAATCATTATTATGAAAATATAGATAATAAAACTTAGTATGTTTTGATAAAGGAAAAACAAAAGTCATTTCAGTGGATTCACCATCCAACAGTAATAGTAGAGAACCTGAACTTCTGGTCGGAGGATTTTCCTCAATGAGGTTAACTGTTGCCTGATGCTTATACTGGAGAACATACCATGTAAGCATTGAGCCCTAACCTATTTACTCTCAACACCAAGTGACTGACCTCAAGCTAATGAATGTGGTTTTTAATACAAACCTTCTAGCTCACTGCGAGCAAGGATGGACTTGGCATGCAGTGGGTACTGCATCAGTGACTAAGTAAATGCTTGGCTTGCAGACACTCCACTGCTCAGAATTACCAAAACCTGGAAACATACCAAACAGCCATCCGAAATACAATAGGTAAACAAATTGCTATATATTCACACAATGGAGTACCTTCTAGCAATAAAAATTAATCAGCTGCAGATATACAAAAAGACAGGGACATTTCTTAGCAAGAAGTCATATGTAACTGAACAAGAACTGCATGATTCTGTTTTAAAAGTTCAAAATCAGAAAAAAACACTTTCGCTATTTCTGTTTAAAGATACACAAATAAGTAGCCATACTCTAAAGAAAAGCAAGGAAGTCAATTCCTTAAAACTTAAAATGAGGATTCCCCAGGGGAATGGTTAGAAAGGGCTGTGTTAGAGAGGAGGAGGCTCCTGGGATGCTGCTGATGTTGCCTCTTCAACTGCATTGGAGAATCTGCAAGTGTTTCACAACTATTTGTTAAGTAGACATTTATGTTTTGGATCCATTTCTATATATTGTCATTAAACTCCACAATAAAAAGGTATCTTTTAAAACGTCTATGTAAAAAAAATTCTAGAAGACCATGTAGTATCATCATAAATGTACAATAGCCTAGGTCTGGTTAATGAATGAGAATTATACCACTGACCCATTTTGAAGAATACCTGGAAGGAACTAGCTAGGCCTTTGGACTGACCATGTCAAGGTTTTGTTATGGTTATCTGAGCTCCTGGACTGTATCATATGTGGACATGGAAATAGAAGGAGGAACTGCCTACAGTAGATAAATGTGATCAGTAGCTGTGTTCCATGGAGGACCAGATGCTCCACTAAAAGACACTAAATCCATTGTCTATGGACATCATTCAGCATTTGTCACTCCTTAAAAACTTTTTTCATTGAATAAGATCACCATTATCAAAGACTCACACGCAGAATCATTCTTGGGTAGTTATTAGGGATGAAAAGAGTAGGAGAGGGCAGTGAAAATTAATACATAAATAATAGGTACTTAATTAAGATGGGTGAATGTAAAGGCAGTATACAATAAGGGAATGGATAATCAGAACAGTATCACTAAAGAAAGGGAAAACAGAGAAGTCAGAATTACCGGGAAGAAGTGGGGAAAGTACACATTCATTCTAGGTATAAAAATTAAATGTTAGAGGGAAAAACTGTGTAGCAGTAGTTGAACAAAAAGTTAATGTGCTTTGTTAATCTTCACTCAAACTATAATTTTTTTTTAAAAAAGGAAAAAAAACACCAAAAAAAGCTCTGTTTATTCATGTTTATTACAGCATGATACGTGAGACATGAAAATGGGCAAATAGAATAAATCATTCTCACTTACTAGCCCCTGTTTGTACAAAACTATGTCTTGAGCTATTACAGAAAACATAATGTGTAAAAAGGAAAGAGAGACAAGCACTTCTTTGACCAGCTTTGGGAAGAATTTCTTCTTTGAAAGAATGTCATCAGATTGAATGTGAATGACAGATTGCTTCATTAGAAGCTTTTAAATTGAGATAATGAACAGCTTCCCAGTACTTGGCTTCTGCTAAATACTAAAACCTTTGCTCTGCTTATCACTAACTGGTAATTCTTTAATTAGCTTTAATTAAAAATTCTTAGATGGCCTGTGAATAGATTATTCAAGTGGATATCCTGACTCTGGTCAAACTTGTTATGATGTGTAACAGATCAAGGGCTGCAACCCACTTAAGTAGTGTCTTAGTAGATATTGTGTCTAATAGGAGAGCACAGGCATATTTTTATTAAAGCTATCCATTCTTCACCATAAGGAGCTTTATGTCAGCTTTTGCATTTGAGAGAGAAACAATTAGACGTTTGCTCTTCTCAATTAGGAGAAAATGCTAGGGGTTTTGTTCCTCTATTAGACATTCTTGACTAATTGATTTTGTCCCTGTTCTACCATTAGCATGAATGTCTGATTTACAAATGTAAGTAACTGCCTGGCTCCTCACAATTTGTGCTACGCTGTAGTAATGTGTTCCTTGCATCTCTTCTCTTTCAGGGCCTGACATTTCAGGAAGTGGAGAACTTCTTTACTTTCCTGAAGAATATTAATGATGTAGATACTGCATTAAGCTTTTACCATATGGCTGGCGCATCTCTTGATAAAGGTAATAAAGCCCAAAGTTGGATATTTTTTTTTTCCTTTTTGCACGTATCAACATTGAGTCTATAATCTATCTAGCAGGTCATTGCCCCTCATAAAAATAGTTAAGTTTTTCTTGCAAATGTATTTTACATTTCATGAACTTTGAATTTTACCTTAGAGGCTAAGCTTTTTCACAAATGTTTTTTCTTGTACTAAAAAGGCTCTGGTCATCTATAAATATACCCTTGGGAAGGGGCATCTGATCTGAGACACAACAAATAAAACTGTGGAACTTCTCTCATCTGAAGCAGAATCAAGACATATAAGGCAAAGCTAAAGTCATTATACGTTATGATTATGTGTTTAATTAAAAGGAATGTTTTGGTTTATTCCTTGTATTAAGGAATTTTTTTTAAAAAGACTAAAATTATTACTCTGAGAATAGCACCCCCTAATGACTGACTTTATATTTCCATCCAGTTTCTACAGGCAACTGTGAAAGATTGGAAGAATGGAAAGGACAGTTGTCCCCTTTATTACAAAACTTTCAGACATTCAGAGCATTGGAAATTATTATCCAATAATGCCCGTGTGTGGTGTGTGTGTGTGTGTGTGTGTGTGTGTGTGTGTGTGTGTGAGAGAGAGTGTGTATGAGGGGTAAGGAACGCTGGTGGCCTAGTGGGTAAGGAGTTGTGCTACTGATGCAGGCATTTTGAGTCCACCAGCTATTCCTTGGGAGAAAGATGGGCAATCTTCTCCTATGCAGTTTATAGCCTCTGAAAACTCACTGGAGGCTCAACTCAAAAGTACATAACAACAACAACTTTATATAGCGAGTTAGTGATTGTCACGTCATCTTTCTCAGGTCATGAATTTTTTTATTTTCCTTGTGAAAATACCTAGCAGTGTAAATCTAGGTGAAAGAAATGTATTTCATTTATAAAAACTGTCAAATCCTTTTCCACAGTGTATCTTTGTATACTCCCAACAACAGTGTACAGACATTCACATTAATACACATCCTTGTCAACAATTGATAGTACCAGTCTTTTTCATTTTAACCACTTTGGTACTTAAGGTATTGCCATGTGGTTTTAACTGGTATTTCTCTGATATTTAGTGCTCCCAAATAGCTTTTACTATTCCTGACATTCAGATCCTTTTTCAGTAAAGTGTTTTATTAAGATGTCTGTATTTTTCCATCACTAAATTTTAAGTTTTTTATATATTCTAGATTATAGTATCTTTTCAGATAATTTATTGCTGTTGTTTTCAATTTGTACTGTTGAGTCAGAACTGACTCATAGCTGACCCTCCAGTAGGTTTTCAGAGGCAGTAAATCACACGGGAAGAGACTGTTCATCCTTCTCTTGCAGAGCAGCTGGTGGATTCAAACTGTATGCCTTTGGGTTGGCAGTGCAGTGCCCTTATGAGATAGACATTTTGCAAATACTTCCTTGGTTGGTAACTTGCCTATTCACTCTCTTAATGATATTAATGAGCAGAAATTTGTTTGGTTTTTATTTTGATAGTATCTAATTTATCAAATTCGTATTTTTTGTTATCTTTTTTAGATACTTTTTAATTAACTTGCATCTATGAAGATATTTAATGTTTTCCTCCTAGAAGCTTTACCATTTGCTCTTTTACATTTTATTTTTTTTATTATTAGATTCAATGAAAATTTACAGAGACTTTGGATTTCCATTCATTCATTGTTGCACTTTTCTCCCCTCCTAACCCTCCCCCCCAGTATACTACCCTCTTGGAAAAGTAAAAGAAAAATTCTTTCATTGTTTTACAAACCCTCCTCCCAGGTCCACTCCACTATGCAGCCTTCGCTGTGGACTCCTGTCATGACAAAAATACCTAATCATATATCCCTTTTAAATAGTTTTCTCCCTCATCTGTTTGAATGCAGTATACATTATTTATCCCCATCTTTCTCAGTCTTCCCCCAACCCCAAGGTCAGTCCTGCTTTACAACAGCGGCACTGTGCAATTATTTGTCCTTTAGTGACTGAGATACATCACTCAGGATAATGTCCTCCAGGGTCACCCATTTTGAATAATATTGCATGAATTCCTGTTTTTCAATGCAGTGTAGTATTCCATTGTGTGAATATACCACAGCTGCTCTATCCATTCATTTGTTGATGGGCACTTAGATTGTTTCCAACTCCTTGATATTGTGAACAAAGCCACGATAAACATGGGTGTGCATATATCTGCTTGAATGTCAGTTATGGTCTCTTTGGGGTATAGTCCCAGTAGTGGAATTGCTGGGTCAAATGTTATCTCTATTTGCAACTTTTTGAGAAAGTGCCATACCGCCTTCCACAGTGGTTGCACCATTTTACACTCCCACCAACAGTGACTAAGGGTTCCAGTTTCTCCACAACCTTGCCAGCATTTGTTGCTTGCTGTTCTGTTAAATTTTGCTATTCTAACTGGGGTGAGATGATATCTCATAGTTGTTTTTATTTGCATTTCTCTTAGAGCTAGGGATTTTGAACATTTCTTCATGTGCTTGTTAGCCATCTGAGTATCTTCTTTGGTGAAGTGTTGGTTCGTATCCTGTGCCTATTTTTCAATTGGGTTATTTACCTTTATCTTGTTATGGTGCTCAAGTATTTTATAAATTCTGGATATAAGTCCCTTACCTGATATGTCTTGTTGTTGTTATGTTCCATCTATTCACTTGCAACTCATAGTGACCCTATGTACAAGAGCTCTAAACACCATTCTATCCTGTGCCAACCTAGCCATCTCAAATGCACTCATTCCCACCACTCCAGTCACCGAATCGATCCATCTCATCGAGGGTCTTCCTCTCCTGCACCGCCCATCCACTCTGCCACACATGTCCCTCTCCAAGGACCAGTCCCGCCTTACGATATGCCCAAATTATGTCAGACAAAGCTTCAGAATCCTTGACTCCAAGGAACATTCTAGCTTCACCTTCTCCAAGACAAACCTGTTTGTTCTCCTAACAGTGCATGATATATTCAGCACTCTTCTCCAGCACCACAGCTCAAAGGCATCAATTCTCTTTCTATCATCCCTATTCACTGTCCAACTCTCTGACGCATAGCACAAAACTGCGAAGACTATAGTCCAGATCAGGTGCACCTTAGTCTCCAGCCTGACGTCATTGCTCTTCAGTATTCTTGAGAGGTACCACACAGCTGACTTTCCCAATGCAATTCATCTCTTGATTTCCTGGCTGCTTTTACCAAGAGTGTTGACGGTGGAGCCAAGCAAATCAAAACTGTTAACCATAGTGATGCTGCCAATTGGCCCACTGGTGAGAATCTTTGTTTTCTTGATGTTGAGCTTCGATCCATATAGAAGGCTGCAATCCTTGACCTTCTGTAGCAAGCGCTTCAGGTCCTCCTCAGTTTCAGCTAGCAGGGATATGTAATTACCAAATACTTTTTCCCAATCTCTGGCTTCCCTTTTTACCCTGTTGGAGAAGTTTTTGGATGTGCATAGGGATTTGATTCTTAGAAGGTCCCATTCATCTGTTTTCTCTTCTCCTGGTTGTAGGTTACATTTTCATATATGATTTATCTCAAACCAATTTCTGTAGATGGTGTCAAATCTCTGTAAAGGAAGTCAAGATATATTTTTACCACATATCTATCCAGTTATACCAGCACCACTTATTTAAAGCATTCATTTATTTATTCAGACTGCTGACTTGCTCCCTGCTTGCCAAACATCAGCTGACTTTTCTGAAGCATGAATCCCTTTGTAGCTCGCTATTCCATTATTACCTTTTTGTTCATCTTTATACCCATACTTGCTCTCTTGATTACTGTACTCTCTCTCATTGCTGTCAAGTTGAAACCAATTCATAGTTGACCCTCCATTGGATTTTCAGAGGCTATAAATTGCACAGGAGAAGATTTCCCATCTTTCTCCTTGGGAGCAACTGGTAGATTTGAACCGCTCACCTTTAAGTTGGTAACACAACACCCTACTTACAGCTTTATACTAAGTCTTGATGTCAGATAATGTATTTTCAGTCGACTTGGTTCTTTTTCAAGATTGCTTTAGATATTCTAAGTTGTTTGCATTTCAGTATAAATTTTAGAATTGGCTTATACCTTTTACCTGAAGTGTATACCAAGACTTGTACACCAGTGTCCACTGCAGCACTATTCACAGTAATAAAATGTAGAAACAACCTAAATCCCATCAGAGATAAAGAGAAAAACATAATGTGGTGCATACAGACTATGGAATACTACTCAAGCCAGAAAGACAAATAGAGTCTTGATACACGCTACAATATAGATAGAGCTGGAAGATATTATACTGATCCACCAGATGCTCTGCTGGAGGAGGGGGCAATCTCCTCCTGTACCAGTCAAATCTGATTTGACGGTACACGTAAAAATAATACAATTTAAAAAAAAAAGATATTATACTGAGTGAAATAAGTCAGTCACAAAAGGCCAAATATATAACTTCACTTATATATAAAAAACCACATATGTAGATACCAAATTCATTCGTGATTACCAGGGGCCTGGAAAAGGAAGATGTGAGCAAGTTAATGATTATGGAAACAATGCCTTGAGTAAGGCAAGAGTTCCACAGCCAATTATGTGCTGCCACTAAGTTGTTTACTTACCAAAAGTTGAACCAATACAAATTGTGTGACAGATACATTTCCAACAAGGGAAAAAGAATAAAAAGAATAGCTGGTGAGACTACTTATGTACCTCATGGGATTTAGATGCTTGGTGTGAAGGTTTGGCGTCATGGTCTCATGGGCATCCTAGTCAGTTGGCCTCATAACAAATTTAACGCTTCTGTTCTACCACCTCGTTCACCATAATCAGCTACTGAGACACAGCTGGTCTTTGTACCTGACGCACGAGAGAAAGAAGGAGAGTCATTTATCCACTGATGTCCAGCCTGTTCCAACTCAAAGCAGCCCTGTAGAAAGAGGAGAATCGCCCAGGAGGTTTCCAAAGGTATAAATCCTTTAAGGAGGCAGATTGCCTCTCC